AATGCAAATGAGAAGATGAAGTATTTCACTGCCAAAGCATCCAGAGGAGAGGAATGAAGGAATTCCTTTATTGTATTCCTTTGGGAGGCTGCAGTCAGAGACCCTTGCTCTGAACGTTCAGCACATCGGGGTTGGAAGAGGAGACCCTGCACTAAACACCGCAAAGGTTTGACCAGGCCTGGCAGGCAAACCTTACCTACTTAGCTATTTAACTCACTCCCCTCTGCCTATGTCAGCACTTTGTCTGCCATTTCAATGATTTGTGACCTTTTCAGTTTTCCAGCTACTAAAGAATAATCTTGTGAAGGTGCAAATCCCTCCAGACTGTATGTGTAAGCTTACTTCAGGCTTGCTTTTCTTAGTCACCTATGGCAGATTTCTTAAAATAGGCAGTCCTCAAAGAAGTCTTCTTGTTCACGGGCTGAAAAACACTAATTTGGTGCTTCGACATTCTACTTGCCAAAGGGGAAGGAGGGAAAAAAAAAAAAACACTTATGTTAAGAATATCACCCTGTTACTGATTCAGAAGTCCATTCTACTTCTGCATTACAGACAGTAAGTGAAAACCATCTATTCTTCAGGGGCTCGGGCTGCAAGTAGACCATCCCTCATCATGCTAACACTCACTTGTACTTTCTACACTATGCTACCCCTGTCTCTTGGACTGATCAGACAATTACTCAAGCTGAGCTGGAGTTCAGAGGTTTTCACAACTTAGTCTGAAGTTTGTATTTCCTTTGTGCCTGTTCTTTTTTTTCCCAGTTTTATCACCTGATCTAATAAAAATACTGCTCTTCTCTGCAGATCGTTCTTACAGCCTTAACCTGTGACACCTGCATCAACAGCACTATCTGTCTCCAAAATGCTCTCTGGTAGCCTCAGAGAGCCGACGCAATCCAGTTGTACTTAGATTCTGTAAGGAAGAGGCTCCATGTGAAGAAACCAAACTCAGGTTTGAGTTGACTTTGCAGGGAATTAGGAATTTTCTCTGGTTATAGCAGAACAATTGAAAGTCTTGAATGCAAAGTAGAGTTGTGTTGAGATGTGTTACCCCTGAGTGTACCAGGGATTGCTGGTACGTGTAGACTTGGGGTGAAACTCCAAAGATGCTGTCTACAAATGGGATGTGGTGTATTTGACTGTGTTAATGTGCATGTAGAAGCAAGGCTTCAGCAGCATTTGTACTGGAAAGAATAGCCATTTGAGTTGTGGAAGCAACTTCTAGCATAGATGCCGTTCATTGATTCACAGCATTAAGGGCAGAAAGGGTAATGATATCATTGTCTGGCCTTCATATAGCCCAGGCCATTAAAATTCCTAACATCTGTGGGCTGCATCACTCTGTCCTGTCTCAGCATCATCCTGGGAATTCGTGCTGGACTGCCCGATCCCCCTTCCAGGGTCGGTGTGTGCCTGGTCAGACCCTCTGCTGTAGGTGCCGCCTGCAGCCCTTGGTCCGGGTTTACCTTGTCGTTTGGCAGCATGAACAAGATGATGCACTTCCATGTGATGAGATTCTGGAATTGCTCAATACAACTGCCTTATCCCCCTTGTTCTCCTTTCCTCCAATCTTTTTCACAAAACACCTGCAGTGATTTTGTACTTACTGAGGAGACTTCAGCACATCCGAGCCTGATTCTGATCCTGCAGAACTCCGCGGTAAACGCCCATTTTGGGGAAGGATGTTGGCAGTTGTAATTCCATGCAGTGCATGCTCTAATGGTGAGTGCCGAGTTTGTTCTGTCAAACTCCCCAATTTAATTCTGTGACATGCTCACTGTTACCTTTATCAGCTAAATGATCTGAGAATTAAATAGGCTTTTTTTAACAAGACTTATTTTCCACACAACCCTGTTGCCTGGCATTAATTTTATGTCTAGCCTTGAATTCTCTATGAAGCAAGCCCCTTATCAGTTTTTCATTATTTTGCCTGTGACATCAAGGAAAGTATTCTGCAGGTATCTGGTCACCCTCTGTGCCCTGCTCGAACAGTGGCATGCTTCCAGCCTCTTAAAATTTCCCAAGATTAAAATTATCACAGTGAAGCCAGACATTTCCCTGGCCGGCTCTTAAAGAGCTCTTGGGTGTAGACACCGTAGGGCTGCTGATAGAGCACCACTGCTGACAGGCAGATGTTCCTGCCCACCAGTCAGTCTGAGTTAACACCCGGCTGTTCATTCTGTCCCAGTGTGACACTTGCATAGTGCTTCCTAGTGGAGAAGGAATTAGTGGAACAGGTATTCCTAGGACACTTTCATACTCACCTGCTAGTGCTTTTAAAACCATCTAGAAGTGGGCTAACGCAATTGCTACAAATTGTTTTCTAAGAGGTTAAGGGTTATTACAAACAAACAACAAATCCTTTTGCTGTTATAGCTTATACCAGTTCCTCTAGCAGAATGGTGTAAATTAATTTATCTGTTTCTTTTCTAAGTTAGGTCACAGGCAACTCATAGTTTATCAACCAAAGACACCAGTTGTTTACATGCAGAGCTAGTTCATTCTGGAATGGCTGATTAGCTCAGCTGCAGTGTCCCACAGATGCCAAGCTAGTTCAGGTCCCGGTCACATCAACATCGTCCTGATCCTCTAAAGACTTTCAACCATCCCTGCACCATGTTCCACAGCACATCTTGCATTGCTCATGGAGTATCTGCCTTTATCAGATGGTTTTTAATGTGCCTAGTGGAATCTCAGTCCCCCCTTACTCCAGATAATGGAGATGTAACTGTAACTGGCACTCACCAGTCACACTGGTGGGTCTGTGGAGAGAAGAAACCGCTGGAACAGTAAAGCTTTTGATGGAAAAAATAAAAAATAAAATCAGGCGCTGATGACGGTGGCTGCAAATCTTTCTGCTGAGACTTCAGCATCTCTGGAACATGACCCATGCTCTGTTTATGTCTTTGGCACAAACAGCCCAGGCAACTGTCAAGTTGACCTTTTGACCACAGCTCTATGCTTAAGTCTCGTGGCTTCTCTCTCACCTCTGCCAGCTCGTGGTGCACCTCAATGAAGAGGGAAAGCTACTGCCATGCGGGGAATAACTTTCAAGCAGCTGATCAACAGCTCCCAACAGCTCCACGCAGAAGCAGACAGGATGAGTACAGATATGGTTATGAAAAAAAACACTAAACACAACCAGCTTGAGACTTCCCGAACTGCTGTTCTGCTCGTGCTTCCTTGCTCTGTGACAGCGGTGCCACCAGCTGGCAGGAGCTTATATCTGGAGCCACAAGGATCAGAAACAAAATACAACCCAACCAGGGAAGTGATGACAGCCAGGCGAACCTGCAGCAGCTGGGCTGGGAGCTGGAGGCAGGCAGCAGATTGAGTGTTGAAAGGGAGGGATAACGTGCACTGCCGCAGGGTTTGTAGTGGGCTGTAAAAGCACGATCGATTAGAGCACGGCCCCGGTGCGGTGTCCAGGCCAAGGAATGCAGTGGATCTCACGTTGGATCCACAGCCAGAAATGGTGATGGCCACTGACAGGCACGTCGAGCATAGCCTCTGTGAGAAAGCACCAAGGGAACCTGGAAACTGCTCAGGCTGGGGATGAAGACCGAAGCCATGAAACAGAGGCAGTGAAAGCCCACTCAGTGCAGATCATCTGCTCCAAAGAACAGAACAAACTGCTCCATCTGCACAGGGAATGGGACAATGAGGGGACTTGCAAGGTAGGTGACTTGACAAGATAGGTGAACACTACTAGAATTAGCTCCTGGGGAAGGATTTGGGTGGTTCAGTGCTGAGATCTAAGCTGGACACACATCTAGGGGGAGGTCCATGAGGACTGTCTTGGGGCTTCCTGAGGCCCTCAGCGATCTCGTCCTTTTCGGTCGAGCATGTCAGCTTGCAGCTACTTGAGGGAGCATCAGATGCAGCTGGGGAGTTGGTAACAGTCATTGCCAGAAACATTTCTACAGCTTAAAGTAACTGTTTACTCCTTCACCCTCTTCACTTCCCTAATTGTTGTAGAAACAAAAGCATCAGCCTGGCAGCAGACCCATTCTATACTGTCCAGACCATCAGAGCATAGCTCACAAGCAGTTCATCTCCAATTTGCACGCCGAGGGCTTGGCACCAGCTCATCCACATCTATGGCTGTGACAGGAGGCAAGCCAGGAACCGCAAGCTGTGCTGCTAACATTGCTTTCTAGCCTCTGCCCACCACACGTGTAACCAATAATTTTCTGCGTATTTCCAGGGCCAGGCGACTTTTTTTTTTTTCTTCTCAGATCTCAAACAATTTTGGTATAAGGCTTAGTAAGATGACAGCACTCATGTGCCTTTTGGACTTTGCTCTTCCTTTTCTCCCTTTTTCAGGAATTCCCAGCCTGAGGAATGCCTACTACAGCACCACAGGGAGCAGGGACGGTGCTGCTGAGAACATGCTCTCATAGCTTGTATGTAAAGCTGCAGTATGTCCACAACAAACCTCTGTGGAATTGAGCAGCCCAGGTTAAGTATGAGAAAGAAGAGAATGCATGAGAGGCTTTCAGGCATGTTGTCTTAACCCCCACCATAAAGCTTAGAAGTCTTGAGGACATTTCTCCCTCCCAACACCTCTAATTATTTCCTTCTTAGAAAAATAGAGGTTGAAAGGAAAGCTTTGCTTCAGAACAAATGAGGTACCAGAAGAAAACAGAAAGGAGAGGCTTTGAAGAGTTTAATGTTCCCAACTCTGCCATTGGATATATTTCCTATGGAAACAAATGGTTTTACTACAGCTGTACAGAGAACATCAGTGGTTTTTAAACTGTGGAAAACAGGAACAAGTTGAGAACCTGCCCTTAGGGTATAAATCCAGGCACTGGCAAAGGGTGGGGGTCAGGAACAAAAACAAAACAAAGTTTTATTATTTTCTTTGAATTGGTTACATAAGCACAAAGGCTAGTCTGTTAAAGGAAGAAAATCAAGTCTGTTTGCCCTCAAACTGGCTTAGATTTACTCTAAGTGAAAGGATTAGAAAAGAAAATAAACCATCAGTCACGCCAACACACTATACAAATACATTTTATTTAGAGATACCCATAGTAAGATGCACAAATACTTTTTGTTCACCAGTTTTTCAGATCACACAACTTCAAGTAGTGGAAAAACAAACTGCAGTTAATTACAATTATCTATATAACAAGGCAGTAGTAAAAGATCCATTTGTCAGACTACAGCATGGTTAACGATACTCAGGTGAGAATATACAGGTTTCGGTATTTAAAAAGTGCATGGGTCGTTGCCACATACACTAACATGCTTTTTCAAAGAGCAACATCTTTCTGGCATGTGAACACAGTAACCCGGTTAATGCAAGATGGAAAGTTAGGCTCTTGGTTTGATCTGGAAATGCATCTATTAACAGTTTTCCCCCAAATAGTAAATTAAGAGTTGTGACTGACAGATGGAAAGCGATCTGTAAAAATCACTGTTACGTTGTCCATGTAGTCAAGCAACACAGAGGTGACCTAAAAAGATCAGTTCCAGCCTACACCTCCACAGCTCTTCTACCACAGTCTTCAGCAGAGTCCAGAGTACTTGATTGCATTTAGCAAGCTGGCAGAAGAGCTGTAATCAGAGATCCAAACTCTTGCACCCATACTGAGCTCTTCCACACAACTGGAGATCTCAGTCTTTGTATTTCAAAGATCCCACCTTCTATGAACGAGCACGTCAACTGGATCACGTATTGCTGGGTTTGCTTTTGTATTCCCATCTAACAGAGGGAAAAGTAGGAAGTGGTGCTGATCTGAGAGAGTAGCTGCATTGGTTTAGTTGTAATTATAACATGTGGAACCTGGTCTCTTCTCTCCAGTGTCTCTCTAAAGCAAGGAAGTTCATCAGGTTCCACTGCTCAATGCAATTCCCCTTTTGCTTTTAAACAGGGATGGTGCTGTATGGTGCTTGGGTAAGACCAGCAAGGACTGGTGTATGGATGATAACAGCTAAGAGCAAGAAACAAGAATTAAATCAGTCTTCAGTTAAACTTCTTGCATCGCAAACAAAGTGAGACAGAGACTGACTTTTGCATTATAGTTGAGAGGCACATTTTGTATTGATGAACAGAAACCCCCAGTTAACATTGCAACTTTCTGTGAATTTGAACACAGCCAAAACTCCAGTTAAAGTAATTTGAAAAAAAAAAAAAAAAAAAGGTAATCTGTTCTATTTTAAATTCTTAAACTGCTCCCTCACCTATTCTGCACAGAGATACCTTTCCATTTGTGTGTATGCAGCTGCTTTTCCTCCCCAAAAAAATGTTTAGGAGAGACTTGTTTCTGTGCATCTTACAAGTCAACAAAATCCTGATGTTTCACCTGGGTGGGCCCCTGTACCACGTTCAGGAGAGAGCTGAGAAGTCAGTAGGATCTTGTATACTTGCAGTGAACCCCAGAATAAAAAAGAAAAAAAGCCACCCAACTGAAATAACCAGCATTATGGGAATCAGCTCCTTCATGGCACACTAATGAGTTTGGAGCAAAGCCCTTTGGGCTGAAAGGAGGATACCAGCTCAGGGAGACATCCAGGGCTGAGTTAAATGAAAAGGCAGACAGCAAACAATTCAGCAAGGTGTTGTTTGAGCAAGTGCAGATGTCTCAGAATGCAGCAGGGCTCACCCCTGGACTTGGCAGACATGGTAAGCCAGGACACAACAGCGAACTTGCTCATGTCCCAAGGGGCAGAAGGTGGCAAGAAGGGAGACAAAGCGTTTTGAACAAGAGAGACAGAGCCTGGTAGAAGTTTCTCATCCGGGCCTTTCTGTACTGGTCCTACTATCACCTGCGTTGTAAGAGAAGCACAGAGCAATCAGCTGAAGCTATAACGCCCAGCTGGCCTGGCACACCCCACACATACAGCTCATGCTGACCGAGTGAGCGACCAGGTGGATGAAGCTGCAGGCTCCATCCCAGCAGGAAGCACACGGAGGTGGCTGGTGGCAGCAAAGCACAGTGTTCGTAGTCAACCATGGAAATAAGACAAGTGCACTGGTAACCTTTATGGATGAGGGAAGAGGGTGACTGGGGTTGTTCCCCATGCCATCTTCACAGCTCATCCTGAGATGAATGACTAGCAGTTTCATATGTTCTGGGATCAGTTCCAGTTTTAAAAGCACAAAGAAAAACCTCAAGGCTTCCACTGCTCAAACATCAGCTCATCTACACATAGCCAGCCCTTGGTATTACTGCTAGCTAAAGCTAATAACAGGTGTTGCCTTCTGAGCACAGGGCTACAAGTTCAGCTCATAGCATAGCAATTTTTTCCACAATCCATCAAATCCACATGATAGAGTATGTGGAAAAAGACTTCAAATGGGATTAGAAGTCAGCAGTAAGCCAGTGATGTACCTCCCTGCCTTTGCCCTCAAAGGATTTTTAGCTATGATGCTGAGTAACATGGATGTTATTTGGTTGTTGATTGGCCACGCATACCAGTTCTCTGGCTGACTAACACACCACTGGATCAGTCTTAACCAACTGAAAGAGGTGCTGGTGCTGGGCACCTCCACCTTGTGATCTGCTGACATCCACTTAACAATACAGGTATGTGAGAATTTCAGGCTTTGCAGAAGTGGAGTCTCCACATCCAAGTCAGCCAGACAGAAACCGAAGTTTATGGTGAAAGAACAGTGGGCTGTTGGTTTTCTTTTCATTATGACTTGGTACTTTTCAGACTAGGCTAGCAGCTTTGAACCAATTTTAGAAGTGAACAGAGAAGAAATGGGAGAAGAGGAAAGTGCTGAGGATTACAAAGTAGACAGAACAATCTGTTCTACTCTGCAAAGTGAATGATAAAAAGATTTCTTCTAGATTTGAAGAAACTCAACAAGAACAAAAAGAACTCCAGTTTAAATACGCACTGTGGTTACAAGAACACACACCGCTAGAACAGTACACACACTAACCTCAGTGCTCCTTGGCAGCATAGTAATGCCAATAGCTCGATGACTAGCGATGCTGCTTCTAAAGACAAAGGTAGTCCTGTGGATCAATTCAGTACTTAACTTCAGTTAGTTATGGATATACAAGCCCATTTTGGGCAACAGGAAGCAAAGAAGTGTTCCTGTTTCCATGTTCTTATAAACGGATTAAGCTCAACAACTGGGAATAGACATACGCTATCCATCATACCATCCTCTACCTACAGAAGAGGCAGAAACCTGGCCCAAACTCCACGTGTTAGTTTAAAAACCAAAAGACAGCATTTGCCAATTCAGAAGACAAAGCTAAACATGTCATGCCTTTGTCTTGGGAAGAAAAAAAAAATCACTTTTCAGAAGAAAAAGTTCACAAGGTAACTCTGAACACTGAGCCCCACGTGTGGACACGGTAGTTTTCCCTACTATCGGTAGTTTCCCAAAGTTCCGTTTGCAAGCTGCAACAAAAACTTTAAACAGTTCTACCTTACAGCTAAAAACACACACTCTAACATTTGAAAAGAGCTGTTTCTGCTTCACTTGACAGCTTCTGTGATAGTTCAGGATCCGGTGCTCTTCCAACACCGCTCATGACAGAAACAGCGAGCTGAGAAAGGCTCTGTTACATGGGTGGAGTTGCAGGAGTTATTAACATCAGAACCTGGATTCAGAACAAAAGCCAGCAAGTGTCAGTGAGTGCTGATCCTCACTCCTCCCTGGCTTTGTATCTTTAAATACATTTGGGGAAAAAAAAAACAAAAAACATTAAAAACAGTTCACTGTAGGACATGCTACCCTCAGGCAACAAGCTGTGGTCAGCACACATTTTAAAAACACCTTGTGCAGTTTGTGCATCATATACAAGTACATCAGAGGCAATGGGGAAGATCCAGCATTTGTACACATTAACAAACAAGCAAGCACTGATAGATGTCACGGGTAAGACCAATCCCAAGACAAACCAGTCCGTTGATTTGTATCTACACCACATCCTAAAACAAAATTAAACGAGTCACAATTAACAGTACAAACCTGTTGCAACTTCAACACATACATCTTAGAAAAAGACAATGCACGTACCCAGCCCTAAGACAGCGATGAGTTGGTGAGATAACTTTACAAAGATCAAGGTACCAGAAGAGAAAGGCACGTTAACCTCTGGTTGGTCCATTTCGGTATTATTTGGATGAGTCAGTGATTTATATACCCTGAGACTGTGGGAGGCCTTGAAAAGGAAAGGAGACCAGGAGAATGGGCAAATAAAAAGTACAAGTTTAATGAGATTAAGATTCAGCACCTGAATATTCCCTTTTAATAAGGGAATGTAAAAAAGCAGTTCCTAAGAAAACCAAGTATTGACTCCTAGATTTTTGTTCTGAGGTCAAAGAATCAACATCTAGGACTAGAGAAATCTCATTATATGCTGGCAAGTGCTTTTATATACACCTCTCTCTGGCCATTAGACTGAAACCATGCTTTTGTATGGAATCAAGTGTTTTGCTTGGTGATTTTACAGTCCAGAAGTGGCAGCCACTTTCACAGCTCCAACAGCCCTGGCACCCTGTGTTAGGTCTGTGTGCACTTTCTTAGACTGTTCTGCTCCCAGCAGGTCACAAGAGGGAAAAGCTGTTAGAAAACGGCATTCAGTTTTTAATTGGGAAGATTCTTTTCTGTCAACAGTATTTCTGTTTTTAATTAGCCAAGCACCACATGTTTCTGATAAAGCCAGCAAGCATCACAGGAAAAACATACTTCCTAATTTAAGTCCTTAAAAATTAACATGGAAAAAACAAGAATGAAAGGGACATCTACTTGACCTCTGAAAACATTTCTGATTAAGCCCTTTTACAAGTACCTCCTGAGCAATGAATAAGCATCCCCTCTGTATTTTTAAGCTCCTCAGGTGTTCCGAGACCAATACCAACCACTAGGCTGGGCTTTCACCTTTTTTTCCCCTCTTGTGCTCCCTTGCCCATCCTCACCACAGTGAAACAACTGCTTGCAAAGACAAGGGAAAGCACAAAGGAGATATTTTCAGATGAGACGTGGCAGTATTTTTTCCACCCTCTTGTCTGCAACATGGACAAATTCCTGGTGTCTGTGCTTCAGAGACCTTAAGATAAGCTACTGAAAGCACTGCAACACTCAGAAATGCATTTTAAGTTGAGGTCACACCACGGGCTGGGGCTGCAGCGTGACCAACAGTGCACAAAGGGGAATTTTCACTTAACTTCAAGCCAGAGAGCATGGAGCGTGACAGTCCAGGGCTCAGCACAGGCTGGCTGGAGAATCTGCTCTGCCTGCATCACACCCAGCCCTGCAACAGCATCCCTGGAGATGAGCTGTACCCATGTTCAGTGACTGAGTTATAGCAGCAATTGCAACATCAACTAATTAAGAATCTCGTCGACACCTTGAAGAAGTAGGTTTATGGAAAATAAGGGTATCAGACCACCACAAATAGATCTCAGAGCTCCCACCTGGCTGCTGTAAAGATGCTGCTGCACAACTGAGCTGCAGCGACTCGTGGCCAATCTGTTCTTGGTTTCTTGCAATCAGACAAAGCAGGCAACCTCCAAAAAGCAGTCTAGGCAAGCCTGCTTTATTTCACAGCTGCACCAGGTGAGGGACATCCATTCACAAGGTCATTTAGTGCCTCTCAGCTGAGGGGCAGAAATTAAGACACCAAACCAACACTTAACATAGCTGGATCACAACTTAAAACTTGTAGCTCTGCAGCTGCAAGCTATATACAAAGCAAGTGCTTAGGCAAAGGAAGGGAATGAAATTCTAGAGCAGAGTGACTGATACAGAAATATATTAATCCTTAAAATACAAAAAAGCTGCCAAAGACTTGAAACGGAGGCAGCAAAGATATCCCCATGAAGACATTCAGTAGTCTCCCTCACTAAGAGAGTCACAAGAGTCACCCACAACACGAACATAACTTTTGTGGACAGACTAAATCCAGTTGGCTCTCTGGGCGCTCTTGCAAAGCATCTTAAAATGGATCTGTGGGGGAAAATGAACAACTGAGACTAGGAACAAACACCTATGGAACTATTCTTTGGTAATTTACTCACCCTGGACCAACACAAACATCAGCACAAACATCAGCAGCACTGATGAGGGAACCAAACAAGTGGACTCGCTTCTTTACAACAGTCCCAGGAAGCACCGGGGGAGAGCAGCAGAAATTCTCCTTGGCTGAGCTGACTGCACAAGGGGGAAAGCTGGAGCAGTTACCAGGAACGCGGAGTTCAGGCAAGAGGCTGAGCAGCACCCCCACTGCCACGCTCAAACTAGCACTGCTCTGTAGCTTCTGCTTCCTTGCGAATGTCCATCACATATCACCCAGTTGTTATCGAGGGGTGGCTACACAGCACATACAAGCTGGGTATTACTGAACCCGTAATTAAATCATCTCCAGTTTGATTGCATGTAAGAATGAATATGGGAAATGTGATACCCAAATTAATAAGGTGGTCTACTCTAAAGTAGAGGGGTAAAATGAACAGCTTCCTACACTCACTAGCAGCACAAGATCCCACATTCCTGAAAGGTCAAACAGCAGGAACAAAAGGTCTGAAGGTCTGATTAGTTGTTTTCTCTCCTTCAGGTGCCTGATGTGAGATAAAGCAGGATCTGCTCCCCCTCAGGAATAGACAGTTACACTGTGTAATCCCATCAGTCAAACAGGTAAGCCAGGGCCTCACTGCCCGGTGTTATTGATGAAGACACCTTGCACAGAGGCAAGAGAGACCGTAAGGACACTGCCAGACTAGCTCTGGTCAGCCTGGCAGGAACAGCTTCAGCGACCAGAGCTACTCTCCTGCGGTGCTGTCATCTCCAGCAGAGACAGGAGAACAGAGCACGTCCCAGCCTTGTATTTTCTCCTCAGCTTCAACCAAGTGCTCGTTTGGCACCAAAGCAGCAAGGTGCACGCTGCTCCAGAGGTGACGAGGGCAGGGGGCAGGCATTCATCCCAGCGGAGGACAGAGGCATCGGTAACAAGGCAAGAGTTGCTGGTGCTGCCAGAAGACCAGGAGGAGTACCCCAGAGCCCTGCATTTCAGCCAAGTGGTAGAGAAGACTGTACACTGGAATGCACACGCTTCACAGATGGACCCAAAAGGCATCAGACCTATCCTCCCCAGTCACAGTCCCACAGGAAGTTCAAGGTGGTTCAAATGGAAAAGGCAGCAGGGGGCTCCAGGGAAAGACTGAGTTTCTCCTACAGCAAGCTAGATGAGCGGGGATGGTAATGCAACAATGAGCTAACAGCAAGTTCTCTTGCTACATGGTAATCTCTTAGCCTGCATTAGACAAGTCTGAGACAAACTCTTTAACCTTAGAGAAAAAAATAGTTTATTTGCCAATTGATAAGCCAATAGTCCATTGGTTTATCAAAGGAGATGGCTAACAACCTGAACAGCTTAAAAAAAAAAAGGGGGGGGGGGGGGGAGTTCCCACAATCTGAAACAAGAGATCTTGGGTTTTAGGCAGTCTACAAAGAACCCGTGAGCTACAACAGGAAAGCCTGGGAGCCACCTGGGAACCTTGTCTCACCTGCAAAATGGTTAGATACAGTTGGTTTTTTTAATGACAAGAAAGAAAAAAAAATCACGTCCCTAGCCCCCTCCCCCCCCCCCTTTCCTTTCATCACCTCTGCAGGTCCTCAGTGTAATGTCACCCTGCCATGCTGCAGGACAGCCTACTCAACCTCCAGCTGCACAAGCTGATACCTGGGACAGGCAGAAAAGGAACAAAAGACTTTTTTTTTTTTTTTCTCCTGGCACTGCTGCAAACTACCATTCAAATGCAAATGCACTTCTGGGAACTCCTGTGCTTCTGCAGTTTGGACTTGATGGGCAATACCCTGGGGAATTTGTCCCTGGGCTCTGATGAGCACAGCTTAAAATTACTGTATTCCTCTACATATAAACAGTGTCATTAGACTTGTACTTTTAAAAAATAAGATCAACCCAGGCCAGGGCCAGGCTCTGCAGATAAAGTAGTAGCTTATCTCTTATAAATATTTTTAATATTTTTTAATTACAAGTAGTCCTCGCTCCAGGTAATGTAACTGACACAAAGTACCTGCACACACGCAGCCCCTAGACTTTCACGGAAAGCCCAGGAGCAACCACTCTAGTAGAAAGGAATCCTACCTCACAGCAAAGTAGGGGAGAGGGCACATGGCCAAGATAGCATAAATGCAAGGGAAAAGTCATTTGGAGCAAATATAATAAAAAGGGATTTCAAAAACCCTTCATATAAAGGATTGAGAAGGTTAAAGCAAAAACTGGTTCAAAAGGATGTATAAAACTGTTGGAGACCAACAGAAAACTCTGCTAAAAATAACTTGCATTTAAATCATAACTCAATGGCATCACACAACTTCATTGTTAAAAAATGAAAGAAAATGAAAGGTGGAAATAAAGATCAGCATTTGTAAAGAGCTATCATTAGCTCCAGAGACCAGCGTAATTCCCATGAAGTCCTGATGGAAGGGGGCCTCCTGCCACGAAGAGTTTTGTTCCAGATGAGTCGTAGCAGTGGGTGTAAACAGCATTTGGGAAGAAATTAATTTCAGAAAAATAATTCCTCCAGGTTTCATCATGATTCTGTTAAAGGAAAGTTCAGACTGTTACTGATGCCAAACAAACAGAAAGCTTTGTTTCACAGAAGCAGAATGTAGTTTCCAGAGCCTAAGAGAAGGATCTTTTCCTCTGTTAATACTCCCTGAAGCTTTAGACAGACCAACTTGAACTGGAAGATACCAGAGCCTTCCTGAAGCTTTTTCTGAGGAGGTTTGCACCAAACAGTGGAGGTGGGGAGGGTGAAGGGTAGGGAGGATAGCAAGTCCCATTAATTTTTAAAGTTGCATCACAATGATAAAAAAGATAATGGAGAGAAGTTAGACATGGCCATTAACTACTTTATAGCAACATACAGGACATTGAACTCAAATGCCTGCCGTGGCATTATTTCAGGAAACCAGAGTTTCTAAAACTGTATAAAGTTAAACTAAATCTCTCAGAGTACCACATTAAATTAGCATGCTTTTAAGGTAGACAACATAATTTGTTTGATGTACTCACAACTAGAAGATAGACTACAATCAAAATAATGAAGAGGAGGAAGAACTAGTTAATTTTTGGATCAGTGCATAGGCAGAGTAGTCAGTACGCCTTACGTTCAAGCAGCTGGCCACTCAATACCTTTGTGAAAACAATCTTGCAGCATTTCTTGATTTTCGTTATTACAGATAGTTCCCATTACTATAAAACCAGTTTGTAGCTATAGGGCTTGAACCAGCTACTACTCACCAGCCAACCTTTTCCCGTAGTCAACTTCAAAATTTCACTTCCTCCTAATTTCTGCTTCTGTCCATAGCAGGCACGTGGGGGCTTCTCATCCAGGAACCTCTGGGCTCTGATGTCATAGAACAGTAAGGAGCCGTGCCCTGTTCCCACGGTGATGATGTGTTCGTAGAAGCTCACTGATCGAATACCTGGCAAACAGAGAAAGGACATAAAATCAATCCAGGGAGGACCAGGCACGCTTTGGCTCTGCAGTGCTGCTGCTTGATGTCCAATGCTTTCTTCAACAAAAGCTACCTGCTACGTTTTTCCACATCAGCTTTCCCATTTCTATGGAGCAGCGTAGATAAATCCCATTTATACTACTGAAGCAGCAGCTTCAATTTGTATGTAACATAATATACATATGTAAAATCGAATGTATGTGTGTGTATATACACACACACTATTCCTCTTCTCCTCTGAGGCCATCTGCTCCACTGATGGAGCATAGCAAGAAGCTTCATTCTCAGCAGGCCCAAGCTCTGCCAGATAAGCAAATATCTAAGATGTTTAAGATCAAGAGCAAGCTTGTTCTGTCTGCAATGAGCCTCTAAGTGAACCAGCAGGAGTGAGTGCATGGCAGCACATAGTGGAAAGGATGCATACTGGTGTCTCCCATGAGCTCTCCCCTATCTAGCTACCAGCCAACCTGTGAGAAAGAGACAATGAGAAAAATTACTCTGCTTCCACCACATGCATCTTGCAGATCTAGAGCAACAAAAGTAGTTGTATGCAACTATAATCATCATTAATCACTTTGATACTAAATAATTCAAGATCTTGAGGAAGCTTTAAGTTATCACTACTCAAGCAGTCTCACACAAACACCTTATTCTTTACAGCTGGCATCTTTAGCACTTCACCTTGCAGTGAAAACAGCAGGCATCCTACAACCCAAGCAGCACCACGTTCCTCAGCAGTTTCAGGGAGATTCTGCATGTAGGAATTTGCAGCTTGTGAGATGTCCTGTCATCTGCTCTCTAGTGTGCCAAAGGTTTGTTCTGCGTAAGCACTCTACCTTAAGCTACTGCTCTACATGGAATAAATCCCACCACTTCTATACTTTTTCTTCCCACACAAAGTGATACTGGGTTATAAACTCAAAGTCTGCTCTGAAACCCTATTTAAGGTATCTTCTAAATCCAGCCTATGCAAGCATTCAAACAGGAAGGGAAGGGAGTTACGCCAGCTACATCCACGTTCCAACTGCTGTCACCATCCCACGTGGGACTGGAAGCCATAAAATTTGTACTGTGCTGAGTATGTTCAGTGGGACACATGACGGCAGGCATCCAGATGATGTGGATGCAGCCAGGGAGTTTTCCCTTGCCCTTTATACAGAATCCCAAGTAGAAACACATCCTCATCCTTCCACCTCCACACCCTGGTGTTACACTCACAGCCACGGGCATCTGTGATACATGCTTAGAGCAGGCAACACCGCTGAGCTTCTGATGCGAGGTGAAGCCATGGTTACTGTCTTAATCGGTGGGAAACCACAGTGCAAGTCTCACACTCGCCACATTAGACTTCCCAGATGCATACAAGAACCTCCAATTTAATTCAGAGCTCCAAATGCATAGGATACATTCAGAAGGCTTTAAACCCTCTTCAATCAGCAAGAGCAGTCACTTGAGTAAGGGGAGACGGGCACAAGAGGAGACATCCTCCAATTTGTGCTACAAAAGTGCTCTTGACAAACAACCCAGCAGAACACTTACAGAAACAGGTGGCATATCAGTGCACATGGCATACTTCTCAGTGCTATCTATTAATTAAGAAGTGCTATGAAATGCAGAACTGTGGATCCTTTTCTAATAAAAAAAAAAAAAGCTGAAAGAACCAGTGATGTATCCATTACTAAGATATTTAGAACACCTTTTGAAGAACAGCACTTCACATTGGCTCCTGAAGTACCACCTCAGATTATCCACAAACTAGCAGCACAACCTGTGCCTAGAACTGAACAAGGCAAGCTAACATTCCCAGCACTGTACTATGGTCATGTGTTTGGGTCAACAAATTGAGTTTTACTCCTGAGAGAGAGGGAGGCCCTACATACTGCAGAAGGAAATGAAGATGCAGTAGCATGTCCTAAGCAAAGAGCAAGCACAGAGTCTGTGCAGCACAAGCTCTGTCCACTATGTTAACATTGCTGTTCTCAGGGTGTGAAGTCAAGGGCATAAAAGAATTCGCTACATGCCAGCCAAGCAGAAAGCAGTTTTTGCTGATCAGGAACTAGAGTACAGGGCCCTACGTATTCCTGTACAGCTGCTAAGAAAAGCAACACTTACAAGAATGCTAAAAAGCATAATTGCCTTCTTATGTACAGCAGCTAGGGTTACATTCGGTAAAAAGCAGATTCTAACTTGCTAAGACTGAAAATCGTGCTCTCTCTACCCTGTTCATATGCACACAACACTAATAATCTGACGTTTATGTGAACATTGGGTACATTTTGCAAGCTGACAGCACTTTTTTTTTTTTTTTCTTTCTTTCTGCAGCCTGTGCTGCCCCATGTCCCAGGAGGATCAATAGAAAGCTGAAACACTCAGCACCCTGGGAAGCAGTATTACTTCAGTGCCCCAACCAGTGCCGTAAGAAGAGACCTGCCCACTATGCATAACAGAAAACGGTGCTGAACAAAGGCCTTCCCCAGGCTCAAGCCAGCATCTCAGAAAAGCTATCTACACACAGATCACACCCAGCAGGATCACATACTCAGGGCAGAAACTTCCAGCCACCATTGTGCGATGCACTCCTGTGTCTTAGTACCTCTTCCCTATGATACTGAAGAGTAACAGCACCAGAGGACCTCCACAGAGCCTTGGCTGGCTGTGATTCAGGGCAAAGGCTGGTGCTGGAAAGCTGTTCAGGGCTGGTAAACCATTATTTCTCACCCTAAAGAAAATTCTCCCATATCTCAAAGAAACAGACCCTGACATTTATCTGGGCAGCACCACACAAACTCCAGTAAACACAGACAAGGCCTAGGGAAGTTTTATTTACATGCACCCTCTTTTGATAACTTGCCCAACAAAGAGACTGACGCTCAGAGCTGAGCTAAACAAGGACTGCAACTTTTTAGCCTTGGAGTAATATGTTTTAAGATGGAAAATCTCAACACAGTGCTTCCTTCTCATGCTTCAAAATAAAGGACATGTGAAGAAGCATATAGGATCGTGCACCCTGACAATGCTTACACTTGGCCCTGGCATAAGGTTCAATTGAAGAGACTGCAGAAGAAAAAAACGGTACTCATGTCTATAATCATTCTATGACTGTTATTGTTACCTTTTTTTTTTTTTGAGTGAGCTTTTGTATTTAAACAAATACACACTGAAAGTCAGAAATCTCACTTATCTTCAAGATCAGAGTAAGCATTCACTCACAGCACATACTCCAGATGTGATAGCAAAGAGCAGAAACCTGCATTTTTCTTCCAGTCCCAGAGAAAACTGTAATACTAGGCAGTATGAGTAGTGGTAAGATAACTGACTTTGCTGAGATGAAGTACAATAGAGAAATACATTAAAAAAGTTGAAGATGTAGACTTTAAAGAGTTCATTACGATTTGGATGGTGCACAATTTAGCTACTCTTAAGAAATCATCTAGTTTCAGTGTTGCTTTTAGCTTGTCTTAAGCCAAGACAAGTGGCCTAAAACCAAAATCTACATACACTGTTAATGATTTAACACATCACATGAAAAATCTCGTATTTGTTTAAAAAGCATATCTTAAATTGCTGCTTCTGAAAGCAAACAGATTGAAGCACTCTGACAAGTTTCTTACCACTGCCTCGTTCTTTGGAACAGACAGATTTAACGTTGTGAGATGGCTGCCTCGGATCCAGGAAGGAGACGTGTGCCTGCGATCCTACAGCATACACTGACCACTCCTGACCGTAAGCCAAACACACGTTCTCCCTGCAGTATGGCAACTTCGTGGAAAGTAACTGGAAACAGAGAAAAGACAAAAAAAATAAATTACAATAAAAGAGCATGATGCTACAGAATTTTTCTGTTAAGCTTCTTTTTAAGTAAATTGCAGTGGGGAAAAAAAGCACCTAAAATAGATTCATCACAAAAACAGAACTTAAAGAGAAAACCAACAACTTGACCCACAGGAAAAAAAAAAAGCCATGGAAGAGATAGGATGCCTTATCAAACCAAACTGGAATGGTAAAGGCTGAAGTATTATTTGAAGAACAAAGGACAGTTTTGGCAAATTGTTTTAATTTTTTTTAAGCTGCTGCTACCACCTCCACAGGTGCAGAGGCATCAGCTCCCTGAAAAAGCTTACCTCATACACCAGCAGAGATATGCCTGATTTTGATTTGCAATTACACTTCAACAAGTATAGCTTCTTTGATGAACCCTGCTACAAAACTACCCACGCTGTATGCAACAGGGCACTCAACTCATGGAGAGCCGGCATAAGTTTAAGAGCAGTGAGTTTTTCTCCTCAAATTTTATTTTTAATACATTTTATACAAAGCTTATGTTTTACAAACTGTTGTTTTCTTCAAGCATTTAAAGGAGATGAAGAAATAGTGAACAGCAATAAATGCTAGGCCATTTTCCAAGTTTAATGCCAAAAGAGAAAAGCACCTTTGATAGCGTGTGCTCTGCTTTCCAAAGATGAAAATACCCATCTAGGGACACAGCTCCCAGCTCCTGTTAAGATTTAAAAAAAAAAAAAAAAGTTAGTTTCCGTATTATAAATGCCCTTATAAACCTTATATAGCCTTTCATTTCACATTGATCTTGAGAGAACACAAGATAGCACAAAGGTGCCAGATAGAATAAGAATTATTAAAACAAATAACCAAAAATAACTTTCAAAGTATAGATCTTGTTAGACAAGCAAATAATCACTTATTAGACAGTACAAGCTAGTTAGCAACTAGCAGCTCCCACACTTATTCTGACCCCAAAGTCATCATTTATTTCCAGGCACTACTCTATAGGAAAAAGCTGTGTGAAGTCTTCATTGCAGAGGAGTGATTAACACGGTGAAAAATAAAGCCAACAGGAGCACTGTGTTGCTGAGAGCATGCCTGCTTTGGCTTCAGACCTTCTCTGTTCTGTGAGGACAGAAACAAAAGCAGTGGAGAATGAATTGCTACTCCTACTTGCTCCAGTAGCTTTCATCTCTAGTAATAGCAAGAGATCAGCATGGGGGGAGGTTAATGTTTTGTTTGTCAAATGCCAACAAAATAACACAGTGGTGCCTGCCCTGTGTGTCAGTTACCTCGCTTGCTGCGCAATCCAGTAACAACTCAGCTATCAAAACAGGAACTACCTGAATGTCAGCTGGTCTTCATTAAGAGTGAAGGAAAGCAACAACCACACCAGAGAGTGGGATTCAAGCTGCAAGGGGCGTACTTTCTCTGCTTCGTGTAAACATTCCCCCTCTCCCCCTCTGGGTGCTGGTCTGAAAACCAAACCCACAGTCAAATTGTTCCTTCTCAGAAAAATACATGACGAAATTGTTCCTTCTCAGAAAAATACATGACGTCCCTGCCTCCAGCTTTTCTGAATTCACTCGGGGGCAGAGGTAGACACAGCAGATGAAGACAACCATTTCATATGAGAAGGAAACAAAAGAATCAGGGAAAAATATGTTAGGCTGCCTCTCCAATATTTTTGACTTAGATTAGTTTTTTTCTGGTATGTCTGGACAGTTTTAGGACTTCTCATCTGTCTTTAAAAGCTTACTCACCTTGTTTTTATTGTTGAAAGCCAGTGCTCGGACTTTGCAGTTGTCAGGATTGGTGTTCTCCTTGGGGATATCCTTCAGAGCCCTGTGTGTTATGTGGGCATAGACAGGAACTTGAGACAGGTTGTGCCTGGCATCGCTTTTAGACAGCACATCCTCTGTGACTTCCCAGAGACCCATCGAACCATCCCGAGAACCTGGATGAATAGCCCATACATAACAGCATTTCACATTGATGTAATTGCCCTTTTTTAAGGAAGGAACTGAAATAAACAGTAGAGGCTGCAAACAGGAAAGGATACTATTGCCATTAGTTTAACTGAACACACTGCTGGGCGTCATTAATTAGGATTAACAACAGGATCTTTCTCAGCTACTAAGTTAGTAATATCATGACCTCATTGTCAAGTGTTTTTTTCCTGTATGGCTTCTAAGCATTGAATCTGTTTTCAATGTGACCATCAAAAAAAAAAAAACAATCATCATTAGAGATTCACACATGGAATAAATTCAGAGGTGACAGAAAAGCCAACACATTTAGCCCAGCTTACCAAGGCTGAGATAACTGTGTCTGCTAAGTCATTGCAAAAACCTCTGAGAAAGTTTTGTTAGGTTTATGCAGATTTTGGATCATTTGATTTTTGCCAGTATCCCAGCATATATCTGCACAGAAAACTGCGAAATCTCTTTTTTAAAAAACAAAAGCAACTGAGGCTGAACCAGCAAAACCCCCCATTTTTCTACTGAATTTGGAGATACTGTGAGAAACTAAGCTGTGTTTTTGCAGTAGAGGATTACTTTTTTGTATTCCAAGGTATTTGGGTAGTCATAACAAGGAGAAATGCTAAGTAAGTGGACAGTAGAAGGCCTCACTGTTCCAAAACAAGGTGGAAGCTTGAGAAAAACAGGATGAGCCATGTGGGAACAGTAAAACAACGATGACAGATTCTCAAAACATAAGAAAGGGAAAATAAAAATAAAAAAAAAAAGGAAAAAGGAGAAATTAAAGGGTTAAAGAAAAAATTGTACACATATGGTACAGAGGAGCATTGAGTAGCTTGTGAACCTGTAGTACTCAGTCAATGAGGAAACAGGGGAGGTGATCAGGTGTCAGGTAATAGGGAATAAGAGGTTATGATTTGTTTACTATAATGAGCTCCTAACATGGCACTTGCAAGGCAAGCAGGCGATCAGGCCCAGTCAGCATGGGTTTATGAAAGGCAGGTCCTGCTTGACGAACCTGATCTCCTTCTATGACAAAGTGACGCGCTTGGTGGATGAGGGAAAGGCTGTCGATGTGGTCTACCTTGACTTCAGTAAGGCTTTTGACACCGTCTCCCACAGCATTCTCCTCAAGAAACTGGCTGCTCTTGGCTTGGACTGGCGCACGCTTCGTTGGGTTAGAAACTGGCTGGATAGCCGGGCCCAAAGAGTCGTGGTAAATGGAGTCAACTCCAGTTGGAGGCCAGTCACTAGTGGCGTTCCCCAGGGCTCAGAACTGGGGCCAGTCCTCTAATATCATTATCGATGAGCTGGATGAGGGGATCAAGTGCACCCTCAGTAAGTTTGCAGATGACACCAAGTTAGGTGCGTGTGTCGATCTGCTCAAGGGTAGGAAGGCTCTGCAGGAGGATCTGGATAGGCTGCACTGATGGGCTGAGGTCAACTGCATGAAGTTTAACAAGGCCAAGTGCCGGGTCCTGCACCTGGGGCACAACAACCCCAAGCAGAGCTACAGGCTGGGAGTGATGGTGGATAGTCGGCTGACTACAAGTCCTATGAGGAGTGGCTGAAGGAGCTGGGTTTGTTCAGCCTGGAGAAAAGGAGCCTCAGGTGCAACCTTATCGCTCTCTACAGATACCTTAAAGGAGGCTGTAGTGAGGTGGGGGTTGGTCTGTTCTCCCACGTGCCTGGTGACAGATCGAGGGGGAATGGGCTAAAGTTGCACCAGGGGAGGTTTAGGTTAGATGTTAGGAAGAACTTCTTTACCGAAAGAGTTGTTAGGCACTGGAACAGGCTGCCCAGGGAAGTGGTGGAGTCACCATCCCTGGAGGCATTCAGATGTAGAGCTCAGTGATATGGGTTAGTGGAGGACTGGTTAGTGTTAGGTCAGAGGTTGGACTGGGTGATCTTGGAGGCCTCTTCCAACCTAGACAATTCTGTGATTGTGTAATTGGCAGGATGCCCACCATTGCAATCGTGAATAAAATAGCTTCACAGAAGATCCTGTCTGAAGAAAAGACTTTTCTCACAATATTAAGCCAAAATAAGAAACAAAAAGAGTAGGCAAGGAAAGCTGAACTACTTTAGTTCACTGATCAATGCAGACTTAGCCAAAGCCCCATGCCCATCCCTTCTGGTGTTTAGACAACTCAATTCCATCTAAGTCAGCTCTTACAGACTTGACACATATCTCTTTCTTCCCTGTGCTACAGAAAACACATCCCTTCTTTCACAGAGAAAGCATAAGATGTATTTCATGTCTTGAAGGTTCTCGAAAAGACTAAATATCTACATCAGCCAACTTACAGACTTTGCTACATCATAAAGAATAAGCTGCAAAGACACATAAGCAAAACATCTTGTTGAAGTAGTGTTGAATACCAGTGCATCCTAAGATGGCTTTGCCCCCTGGCAGACAGATTGGGTCATTTGCCACCATCACCCAGCAGACAAATACAAAAGAAGCTTCCTAATGGCACTGCATAGCAGCAGGCAGCCATGTCCATTACATCCTGCTACTCAATTTACATGCTGATGGTTTCTAATGGCACCCGATCTTCTTATGGAGGCTGAATGCTCAGCAGTAGAATTTCTAAATATCTTGACAGACTTTAGGAGGAAGCTGTCCCTTTTAATAGCACTAACAGGGGGAAAAGACAATGTATGGCATTTAACTGGTTGGCCCTGAAGCTAAGGAGAGTATCATCGGTTACCTTAGGCTCATCCTGGGAATTATTCATTTTAGTTTGGAACTTTTGGCATGGAAATCTTTGTCTAGTCAGTACAGCAATTGTTGCATTCTCCCGCAGTCACAGCTGCTCACAGTCAAGATGTTTCGTTTTATGCTTATTGACTATCAAAATACACTGCTGCCTGTTTTAGAGGCAAATCTTTGCCTTGTTCTTGTAGAAGCTAACAAAGGCAAGAATAATCAAGCCCATGGCCCACTCTGCACTCTCTCAATATTTTTGACAGCAATGACAAAATGTACTGCTGAAGCTCTAACCTCGAGCTGTATGAGTGTGCTACTGTCTGTCATGGGAAAAAAAAAAAAAAGCCCATCTCTTTATTCCTGTGACATTTAACCTACCCCAAGGAAAGTTAACAACAGTTGTGCATTTTGATTCCCAACTCAGAGGTAATTACTAATTTCTCAGTATCTGGAGTTCAAATATTTCTGCTTTGTAGTTTCAGTTACAGATTGCAATAACAGATGTATTATTAAAACAAATGTCAGAGGTTAGTCATCTTTTTTTTCTTTCCTCCAACTAGATCCATTAAGTTCTCAAGCATTCAGAACTGCTAATTGCTTTTAACAAGTTTTCCCTGGTGTCTCACATCTGCAGACTAGAGTATACATCCTGCTACAAGTTTCACGCAACAGAGGACATGGCAACCACTTGTCTACTCACACATCCACTCTTGAGCATGCAGAAAACATTAAGAGCTACAGTTCAGCATCCCATGCTGGGCCTCACTGGGTCCTTATCTCACCTGGATTTCTGTAATCATCTTTGCTGTTCTCCTCCGACTTTAAAATGATTTTTGCAATGATTTTTGTAATGCAGGTTTTTAGGTTGGAGCCTCACAAGCATCAACGTAAGTATTAGTTTCAAAATCAAATTCCAGGATTAGCTTTATTTTTTTTTTAAATAGCTAAGCAAATTATAAAAATCAAATATTTGAATTGTTACGGGACAGTTCTCTGTCATCTACAATATGACCCCCATGTATGGAATACTATATACACTGTCACCACAGAAAGACAGTAAACTACTAAATTAATGCACTAGGACATTGGTACTGCTGCCTTTACTTAAGTAATACTTTATGAAGATACACCAGTTATCCAACCAGTTACTAAAAAGTCAGTTACTGACCTTTTCTCTTACTGGCTTCCATCTTACCTGCACACGTGTGTATGCACACATATAGCAGTAACTACTAACAGCTTGATAACAGAAACTGAGTTTTCATTAAAAGGAGTCTTTACAGGATTCCAGGTAAACATTGTTGCTCTGCTGTATTCCAAAGTTATTAACTCATAACATGAAATTATTGAAGTTACCCTCATACAAAATCCTTCCCTTGTAACTCACTGTTTAGAGACCCTCTCATGTCACTGCCTACTAGAAAAACAGTGAAATCCCTCTGATATTAGAAAAAAAATATAATTTAAGGACCAAGAGTAGTTTCAATAACCAAGCTAGTTAGTTCCAAATAGTTTTCAGTGTAGCAGTACCCAAGCCAGACCCTACTGACCTCTTTTAATAAGAGAAGAATCTCAGATACTAAAGAGCTATATAAAGATTAAATATAATTTAAAGCTCAGAAATGAGAACTTGGAAGTTCTAAACTGAAGGTCATGCACTGTAACAGGCTCTTGGAAATTTTGCTTCTCATCCCCATGATGATTCTTATTCAAAGTCCCAAGGGGACTCTTATCAGTTATTTCTACAATGGGAAGGTCTACTTACAGTACCAGGCATGCCTCAAAAAAAAAAATAAAAACAAGCACATTTGTTTTAACAGGGTTTAAAGGCATTTTCTGAAACAGTGAGAAACATTTAAGAAAATAGTTTAGTGATTACATTATATTGCTCAAGACACCTGGGTTCAGATAAACCCAAGACTTAAGCTGCCCAATTAAACTCCCTCCAAACAATAGAAAGAAGAAATTCAGACCATGGGGGTTGGCTGAAACCTCTTTCAAGGACTTCTTTTCTCCTACTAATTGAAACGACCAAAGGTAATGAGGCTCCAGGCTCCTACCTTTAGTGAATTCAACTGACGCATTTAATTGCAATGACTCCAAACTGCTGGACATAAGGATAACTAGTAGATAGCTCTCAAAGCAGGCCCCATATAGGCCCAGCCTACACTTCAAGTGCAATCATGACAAAATGCCAGTTACATCATAGACTGAAGTATTATAAAGTGTTGGGTTTGGAGCATTTATTCCCCCCCACACACACACCTGCAGAAAATCAAAAACAGAAGCACTTGAAACAAGAATACTGGTTATTGGCACTGTTACAAATACTGTGTTATCTTTATGTCTTGATAAAGGTGATTCCCTAAGACTTACCAAGTGCTGTACATCAGTATAGTTAAATAATGACAAAAAAGATTACCAGAAACAGCCATAGTATCACTGATCCACGCAATTGAAAATATCCAGTCCTTATGTCCATCCTAAAAGGAAAAAAAAAAGTCAGATTTGCTGTGCCATTATATTCTAGAGTAGTCTCTCAAAGCAGCGAAGTATTTTTCACTTTGAGTTTTAGTACAAGCATGAAAAGAACAGACCTATGTTAGAAACATTATACAGGTGAAATCCCAGTATCAATCTGGAGCAGTTTAAGTAACCCACAGCATTTTTTTTTTTTTAGTTTCATTAAACTTAGCATATAAAATTAATAGTTAGAGAGCAATTAAGTGATGGAAAAACAGGCCTTAAACTGAAGACAAATTTATCTCACATCTACGAATTTAGATTTTCCATTTTGAAAGCAGTGTTTTTTGCAAAATAGCCACACGCTTCCTCAAACATCCCTACTATAAATGGTAACTAAAACATTATGTTTGCAATAGATAAGCTACAGAGTGATTTTTCAAGACTACTACTTCAAGAACCTTTTGTTTGGCATGTAAAGAAACCCGGGGAGGGGGATCCCTAAGCCTGTAGTTCTGCTTGAAAAGCTGCACAGTCACAGCAGCATGCAATTGAATAGCAAGTCATGAAGAGCTTCAGAGTCAAGCCTTTTCAGCAGCAGCAGATAGCCAGCTGCAGAGCTCCAACCTCTGCCGTTGTCAGTAACGTCTAAGGCCTGAGTCAAAAGGAAGTAGAAATGAGAGAAGGGCTTCTGGGACACCACTGTATTCACTTCAGCCTTTTTCTTTTCAAGACTAGCTATTTTAAAAAAGTATGAGGACATTTCAGAAATAGACTCTGGTGCTGCTTATATCAAAGTGCCATAAGCCACGGGGTTAGAACTGATCCTAAAAACAAGATCTGCCTCTGGGATAATGCATACATAGAGCTGCACTGGAGAAGGGGAAAACTTGAATAACTTGGAACATCTTTTCAACTTATCACAAGAGCTTTTTCACTAAAACTAGCTGTGTGTCTCAGTTTCAGCCTTCATCATCACAATTAGACCAACATTTAAGATGTGGTTGTATTTTCAATGCTTAAAAGTAATCTAAGTGGATCTGAATGAGGGCAAGGAAGAAGAAATCTGACTCAGAACTGTCTCACGTGTTTATGCCCTCACTTGTATTTAACATATCTTGTCAAGAAAGACCACTTCACCAGGAATGTTTTAAACCCTTCAGAAATTCTTCACTCTTCACCACAAAACTCCCAAATCTAACCTCGCTTTGACCTCAGGCACTTCAAAGTAGTAATTCTTTTAATTGGCAGAATAAGCTTTCCCCAAATATTCCCACTTACATCTCCCACACAGACAGGATCAAGTGTAGGCAGACGATAAATTGCAAGACTGTTGGGGTTGTCTCCACCTGTGGCCAGAAGGGTCCTTGAGGGGTTGAGCTCAATGGCGTGAATACCACAGCCCTGCTGGTTCACCATTCCAGGTTCACGGTCTTTCAGAATAGGAATCTTGGTAATTTGACCAGTCTGGACGTCTACCACAAATAACTGGAAGAAAAAAAAAAAAAAAAACAGCAGATGCAAGTCATTGCTGAACAAAGATCAGAAAAACAAGATTTCCACTTTCGCTATAAATCCTGCAAGATAACTGAAAAAATGTATAATTTATTTCTTAAAACTAGTGAACTGGCTTAATTTACACTGGGTTTTATTTCAATGATCCCATTTGGTTTTGAATGCAATGGAAGAGAAAGGAGAAAAAGTTGTCATGGCACATTTCCCATTTAACCAAGCCCTCAAATCTGAAGTTTATTGCCCTGTTCGTTTCTGTGACAAAACAGAATTGTTTTCCAGTTTCTCTTAACACCAGGGAGAAAGACAGACCCACCTCCAAAGTGCAAGTAAGCCCAAGAGCACTGGGCACAAATCTCCTGCAGCGCAGATCAGGATACTTACCATGAAGTTTTGGCTTTGACAAATTGACACCTTAGAAGTTTATTTAATTAGAGCTTATTTTCTAGCGATGCACAGAACGGTGACTAAACACAGTACTGCCAGTGTGAATATCAAAAAAAGAAACAGGTATCTAGCTACATTCATCAGTCTGCAAAAAGACTAGAAGTTGTAGCTCGACATCACCGTTTCCTTGGCAGAAAGATCAGTTATAAAGCCTTGCAAGTCTGCAGACATCACTGCACACCAAGTTAAATCTGTTCCAATGCATACAACTATAATTTATGATAATGGTAAACGCAATTTACTTAAACTATAGTTTACTATAATGGTAAAGTTTAAATTAGTTTCAGCAAACTATGGTTTACCCTGTCTGCCAAAGCATATCTTCATCTGGGAGGCTCCCGCACAGGATTGTTTCCACAGGTGTTCAGAGTGCAGCTGCACTAACAGCCACGTTGGTGTAACTAAGGGACAATATCTTGTGAGGGAACACGAATGAGAAGCAAGGAAATGGAGTATCTGAGCTGACTTGGCACTAAAGAAAGTGATGTAAAAAAAAAAAATAAAAATCACAGCCCAAGATTTTTGGGGGAACTCACAGACTTGATCTCTGCTCTTTAATAAGAAGCAAAATTTAAACAAGATTTAGTAGCCTGTTACTTCTGATGTACTGAGCTAGCAGAATATTAATGTCAAATCAAAATCTGGTAAAGTATGGTATGTTAAACTCATTCTGCAGAGAAAGCCATGACCTATTCATCACTATTTATGCCTTGTACCTAGACTTATGCACCATCCTCAACCCACAACTGATCTTCCTCTGTAGTCAGAAGTCTTGCACAAACAGAACAGTTCCTACAGTGACTGAATTTTTATGTTCAGTTCTTTATTTTGTATGCAGGTGTCAGGGGGACAGGCAGCAGCTGAAGCGTAGCTGAGTAGGAAGGAGGCACTGCTCGCTTCTGCTCAGCCTCGCAACACGGCTCACTTCCCAAGACAAGCAGTGAAATCAGAATGCATGCAGCAGCACTAACCTCATCCCTGAGAATTAACACCTGCACTACAGGAACACGATGACCACTAATTCCCTCTCCTCTCATCCTCCCCTGTGAGCTTTTATCTTTTCTTCTTCTTTAGTATTTCCTTCCAGTAGAAACTCACAGTTCCCTCCCCATAGCCCTTCAATTACTGTGGGGGGGGGGGAACTTTTATGTACCTAAGTTTTAGGATAACAAGTGTCACTTGAAGGTCCTAAAGCTAGCATCAGAAGCATTAATTAGGAAAACACATCCAAATCTCAGGAGGCCCAGATTCAGGGAAGCCATATTTCAGCTGTTAAGAGATGCACTCTTCAGAGGGAATCTCAGTAGATATTAGCACTGAAATTAAAAACCCTTCACATTCTCCAGTCTAACACCACCACTGCACACCTGTGTTTGACACCAGGCTAATAACTAAAGAACAAGACTTACTCTAAATATGAAATTTCTTTAATGAACTGTAAACTTACTGGACTGTAAAAGTTAAAGTTGCGTATCTCCAAGTTAAAGAACTTGGAAATACACAATGCTGAAGTATCACAGACCCTCACACTTCAGTTCTGGATCTTCAACCCCATTTTCTTGTTACAAGTTTCCAAACGAAGACATCCTTAGAAGTACCAGGACATACTTCTCGCAGTGCTTTCACCTGCTCCCTCCCCACTCCAACCCATCCTCAGCCCTTGAACTGCTCTGTCGTTTTCTCACTTTTCTCCTCCAATTTTACAGCATTACCTTAACCAGAGCTGCAACTGCTCTTGCAGCATGAAACTTGACATAGTTAAGACACTGGCTTTGTTGTTTCAGCTGTTAAACTCTAAGCCGGAACTACTCCCCTTGGTTAGTAAGGGACTTGTAAGGAACTAGTTGCAGGCAGTTTACAAGAACAAAATCAGCAAGTACTGCCTGCATGTGCTATGAGTATTGCATCACCTGGGGCAGGGCAGGAAGCTCACAAGCAGCTCACACTTGCAAGCTGAACTCACGCTGAATGCCAGGAAGTCTTTCCCTATAAATCCAGCAAACAGAAGCCAAGAGCCAAACAGACGTTGTTAATATTTCGCCCCTTTTGGGCTTTAAAAGTGTCTAGCAAAACAGGCACCCATGCTAAGAACGCTGAAAATTGAGCGCTATTTTATGAGTTTAGGACACGACAGGAAATCAAGTACAAAATACCTGACTTTTTAAGTGAGTTCAGCCAAAACTCCAGCATGCAGTTACATAAATTGGAAGAAAACAAGTTACCCTGCTTTTTTCAATCAAACTGGTACCATCACTGCTGTTGAAATAAGCACAACTGCAAACAACTCCAAAGCAGCCCCTAAGATTCTTAACAAAGAGCTAATACCCGTGTTATACTTTTTTAACTCCCTTCCTACCAAGTGGGAATAAGAATTTCTTTTTCAGTTATTTATTCATTACATAAAAGCTTAAATCAGCCTCAAAAAACAGGTGCAAACTCCCAGCAACCAAACAGTGAATTGCTTGTCCCTTGAATTCGTTTTATACATAATTTGGTTCCACCACCAGTGAAGTGTGTGTGCATGTCAGGCTTTAGCATGCTCAGTAACTTGACGGTCAGGACCTCAAGCGAGGGTTGCTCTGGCCAGCTGCCAGACATCCAAGGACCACACTTAGTTTGTGAGGAATGAAGCAGGGTCAGCTATCTTGTTCTTTGTAGGACAATGTTATTTTGACGAGGAAACATGCTGGAGAATGATGTGACAGAAATCTTATCTCCCCTCCTGTTGCTTTTTTTTTGTTTGTTTATTTTTAAAATAAGGCATTTCAGATGTACAGCCTGCAACAATGCTATTGCTCAAGGACCATGGCAGAGCGGTACGACCACATACTGCATTTGTCACAGTCATGACTTTTTAGGATCTGGCCGTACTTTTCACACCCCATGAAATTACCAAGTGTTTGCCTGGTTTTATTTTGTTCTGCAGAACGGTGAGAAGTTCTTTGGGCCTGTGGCTCCCGTACAACTTGGCTCCCTTGTCAAGCTGCTTACAGTGAAGTTCATCAGGAAGCCGTCCCGCTTCATTAACTAAGGAACTTCATTAATCAGTTTGCCAGAAGTAAAGATTGTGGCACAGAATCAAATTATTGGAAGACAACACTGCACTGCAAAACCCAACCTTCTCATCCGTGCAGTACTGAGAGCAGAGCAGTTTGTCAAGCTCTTCATCAAGTCCACTTCATTTTCTGACCTACCTTTAAGAGGCAACAGTTGGGGGTAGGGCTGAGGGGGCAAAGCGACCCGTTCATTACATCTAACTGTCCTTCCCACGCATCTGTAACTGAAAGAATTGGACTGAGCAAAGCAGCAGGTGATGTTTTCACATATGCCACCGTAACATCACATCTGATCTAGCCGTGACCACTTTGGGAAACATTCTGATCATATTATTTTTGGTGAGAAAAAGTTTGAAAAGCCTAATCTTCATGTGGACAATAAGCTTAGAAAATTGTTGAAAGAAATGCTATTTCACAACAGCACATAAAGACTACTTTGTGTCCTCTGCTGCTAGCCCTGCACGTGGAACAGCAGAGAACATGTTGCCCCATCTTTGAGTTGATTGTACAGACCAGTTTGAACAAAACCAAAGCATGCCACCCTGAGCTACACTATGTTTTATTATACAAACAGGACAGACCTGGATTCATGAAACACAAGGAACTTGCACAAAAGACTGCTTATTCTTCAGGCAAGTATACGTCCTATGTTCTGCACCCCTGCTCTTCACACACTGCTCTCAAGTCCCAGAAGCATTCTTATAATTTGTTTTAACATTTGAAGTTACCTGAAATAAATATACTGCCTTGCTAAAAATAGAGTCACCAATAGAGTAAGCTGGGATGGAGTTTCACAATTGGATTAAGCCAGTCTTCGAGAATCCACACACCGCTTCTTCACCCACCCAGTCTCACTGCCTTTGTGGCAATGAGCGGTGCTCAGGTAGCTTCCAGGTCAGCCACATCACCTCGCTGCTTTCAGGGACAATTACCCCTACGCAAAAACCTGCCTGCACACACAGCAGCTGCCCAGCTGCCTCCACAGCCACGTGAACACTGGGAACGAGCAGGTGGGAACATCACATCCTGCACCAGCACGGCTCCGGGCTGAAGCTGATCACCAAAGCTTCACCCTCAGCCAAGCTGGAAAATAACAAAGTAGATACAATCTGGAGAACAACGATCGGAACAACAGAACTAATACAATGCTTACAGGGTCATTACACTAATACCATTGCTGGTTGCACTGAGTAGCACTGTTTTTAGTTTATTTTTTTTCTTTTTTCTTCCCATTTCTCCGTCTCTTCTTCTATCCAGATTTCCAACATCTCTATTTTCTCAGTTCATAGAACGCTTGGCATAAGTCTCTCCAGTTCCATGGCAATGCAGATTCACTGCTACGTGCCAAGCCCCAAAGAAATGCTGAATCCTTAAAGACTAAGATCTCAAACTGGTAGGACTCCTTTCCAGCAGAGCTCAGAACATGCACTAATCTTAGCACTAGACCTACTTACAGGTTGTGCAGTACAGAGAACAAGCAGCACAAGAGGAATGGCCTTACACATCCTCCTTGAAAGGGTCCAAAGAGGCAGGAACAACCTAGAACACGAAGGAATGTCTGAGAAGTTAGCAGAAGTAAAAGAAGCCAGCGAGTTGACTCTGAATCCACATTTCCAGAGACAAGGCACTGCAACCAAGCACCCCACCTTGCTATGAAGCCCTTCCAGCTCGTGGGCATATACATCTGATGTCACTGAACATGCTCACTGACAAAAAGTCACATTTGTCAGTTTTTATTTGCGTCCTGTCCTCTGCATGTAGTTTTAGGAGGCTTGCAGACAGCTAACGTGTGTCAGCAGATGGCAGAGGACAGAGAAGTGACTCGGTCTGCTGAAGGGCAGCTGGGCCGCCCACACCATACCTGGCAAGGAAACTAACAGACCCTTAAGGCAGGCACGGGCATCACATGCACTTGACAGAAAACCAAATCCTCCCGAGAGACAAGAAACAACACCTGACTCTCTACTTACAAGGCACTGAAAGCAAGGTGAACGGAGGTGTCGCTTACAAGTGTCAGAGGTTTATTTACAGTGACCAAAGTACGGCGTTCAGTGGACTCTGAGCAGTTATGAACCGTGGTGACAGGCCTTCCCCCCCCTCCCTGGGAGCAGGAAACAAGCAGTCTTCCTGACTCCTCACATTGCTGGCAAAACCAGAGCAAGCATTACCTCGCAAAGCAAGTGGAAATCATTTTCCCCACAGACATTCCATATTCACAGCTGGAGGAGGAACTACGCATTGTATTCTCACCACTGCTACCCCACGACTGCCAGACTTGTTTATAATTGTATGAGGTGCACTGAACAGACGAGGGATCTCCTGAACTAATTAAAAAGCTCTAAGCAGAAACCAGAGCTGGGCATTTACAGCAGGGCATCCAAGGCAACATGCAAATCTACCAAGGTGAGAAGAAGTACCAGCTGGCCACCAGAAAGCTACCCTTCGTGACTCGGAAAAGCCTCCTGAGAAACCAGAAGAGAATGTTCATTAAGAAAGTTGTGTGCTTAAAAAGACAAATGACAAACATATCTATCAGGCCTTCCTGAGAAACCAAACAAAAAAAAAGTAATGTTAGATTCCAGGCAATTAGATTCTCAAGCAACTGGAAACTAATAAGTGTTTTGTATTTAGGGAATGATTTACAGCTCTGGTACTTCTACACGCTTAACTTCACAATTAACAAAATTATGTCCTGAACATATACACAGGACTAAGGTATCAGAATAAGCTGCAAGATGGTGATTTGAACTTTTTTCAGAAGCTGCTTTATCCCTCGCCACTTCCTGAAAAATAGCATACAATAAAAAAGAATGAGTAGTTCATTAATCCAGTGTTCAGTGGTTTCTTTTGCCATAAACTTGTTTCCTGCATAGTCTCAAAGTTTCTCTACAATTCCTGAACACAACGCACTGATTACGGACAGTATTTTCTTCTAAGATAAAGTATCTTCTAAGGCACCTTCCTCTTCCTTTTCTTCAGCGCCCTGGTGCCACAGCCTAAATACCTGCACCTCACAGATGTGCTTGTTCCTTTATTAGTTTTTCAATACCTCTAAGTAGTCCACTGTATACAAGATCAAGAAAATCCTTGCAAACTTATTCCTGCCTCAGAAAACCCCAGGTGATTGCATTTGAATTTTCAGACACGTGAATGCTCAGATAGGTTCCGTAACTACAAATCTAGGAAAAAAGCATGCACCTATAAGAAACTCAAATATTTTAATTACAACTGTCCAACTGCAAACAGCATGATTTACTAGAGACAATAAAGTTATTTTATATACAGAAGCATACCCAGGGATATTTTTTAGGATAAAAAGTTGCCAAAAATAATGCAACAAGTTTCAACACTCATTAAAAGTGAACTACTGACTGAGAGCTCCATATTCTCTTCAACACTTATGGTGACCAGTACTGTGAGATGACTAAAAGCAAAGCTCCTTCTCTTATGATGAGAGCATGTTTTTGTTTTGTTATTAAAAATAGTGAATACTTCTGGCACAGCATAGCCAAAGGCAATCTACAAATGAACTGCTAAAAGCTCCCCGTGCCATGTTTAAGCTTGGATTAAAGCAATTGCTTTGGTTTATAATTTTCTGTTGCATTAACTTTAATTACATGCAACACCAGTGCAGTGAACTCCATTAAAGTTAGACAAGTTGTTTTAGATTCACTCCCAATTTAAATGCCACAATTGCTTGCTCAGGAGATAAGAGAGAAAACCTTGCAATTAAAACGTTCGTTGTTCAACTCTCTACTCAAATGTGAGCGCAAAGAAAGCGAGCTAAAGCTACTACAGCATTCCTATTTTATATATTTTACACCATAACGTTGGTTTTTGCCATCAGTACGTTTCGCCTAACAAAACACAATGTCCATCTGTAACGTAAGCCTAGCTGCAGAAGCATGTACCTCCTGCAGCGTATGCAGAGCTAACAACAATGTGCTTGAATCCCTCTTCAGTTCCCTGATTGTTTGGCCACCAACAATTTCTGCAAGGTTGCGTTAACAACACACTTGCCCATTTATCTTCACCACTGCTGCTGTGGAACGAGGTAAGTTACAGGACACAGCAAAACTGCTGCGGCACTACAAAGCCCGCAGTGATCTCGCTTGGGCAAGCAGGATTTTGAGAGCTGGTGTTCCAGCAGGAGTTTGCCTCCTGGAAGCTGTTCCACAAAGAGTGCTGGCTGCTGACCGGCGGAGGTGATAAGCATGTGTGGAGAAAGAAGGCAGACAGATTCTACTTTGCTAGATTCCTATTATAAGGCTGTTTTGTTTATACAGCTAGGCCTTGCTTCTTAAAGTTGCTACATGAAAGACTCCTGCTGTGCAAGTATGAATAACTGTAGAACACTTTAAATAAATAAATAAATAAAAGATCTGTTTCCCTTGCAAGTCAGACCGCAGAGCACAGCTTCTGCTCAGAAGTCATGAAAGCAAAGAAGCAATCCCATTGACTCACATACTTTGAGGACTATAAGCTGCTGGATCTATACGTTCCTTGCAACACTCGGCTCATTTCAGCAGGACTAACCAACCTGTGAAGAACAAATTCCGAATTTTGCACTAATTCAATCAGAACTAAATATGCAAACTTGCAGCAGTGGCCAGTGAGGCCAGACCACCAGCTCCAGGAGAAAAGATTTACCTGTTTGTATAATCTCCTCCATTTACTAATCACATAAGACACTATTTTAATATTCCCCTATAACTTTTCAGATCCAAAACTTTAGTTTAAGACCCTGTGATTTCAGTATCTGTAAAACGATGTAACAGTACATGAACTAGATGAGTTACCTGAACACTAGGACAGAACACCACATAAAACCAAACTGACTGAGGATGAATAAGAAAAAAAAAAAAAAAAAGAATTTTTAGTAAATTCTTTCAGACATTATCATTGAGAAATCACAGGGACAGTCACTAACTCCCTACTTGCAAGGTAAAAAGAAAGATTCAACCTCCCTGTTGCACCTCATCCCCAGAAAAAGTCAATTGCTCTGTGCAGATTAGAGATGCTGAGCACAGGCACAAGCCTCATGGATTGGTCCACAACCACCTGTGCAGAACCACATTTTCCAATGAGAATAGTCCACAGCTAAATAATACGTTCATTGAAAAATCATCATGTATGATTTTGACTCTGTCTGTAATTACTTCCTAACGTTTTCCTTGGCAGCCCACACGCTTGGATTACAGAGAAAGGGGAGAGGGAGAAATAACAAGCAAGTGAAAGAGGAGAGAGAGAGGTGGCACTTACTGTGTTGCATTTTGTCCCGCACACCACTTGTCGGTGGTTCAGCCACTGGGAAGCAAACACTTTATTAAGGGTTCCAAGGTGAAACTCTCTCTCCTTGAGGAGGCTGGGAAGCTGCTGGGCTGCGTATCCATGCAACAAGCGGTGGTAGCTGGACTCATTCTGCATCCGCACCTCTCTACCTTTCAGGTAGTACACCAGGGACCGCTTCACCGGGGGGAGCCTTTTCCTTTTGTGAACCGAGTGATCCCACCCATACTGCGAAAAATAAACGCGGAAGTTAGAGGAACTTAAAGCAACGCCCTTGTAAATCCAACACACTGAAGTCCGTCTGGCTGCCCTACCGAATACCACACCCGACGAGCTCGGCACTGCCGGCCTCACTAAGATTATAGAATTAAACAAATATTTGCCATGGAAGCAACACCTCAGCGATACCCCAATTGCTCCACGCTGCTCCACCAACACCCCTGCTTACAAAAACAGGAGAAAAGAGGAAAAACAAACAAACAAACACATTTTAAACAGGCGAGGGCTGCCCCCAACCACCCCCACGGTTTTGGGGACACAGGAGGGGAGAAAGGGGATGAAAAGCTGGGGACCGACCGGGGTGGGGGCCGTGTGCCTCCTGCGGCCGGCCTTGGGGTCGGCCCGGTGCATGGCTGCGGGGCTGCGGGCGGCGGTTACGGGACGAACGGCGGCACCCAACGGGAACCGGGGAGGGGGGGCAGAACCCTAAGGGGGGGGGGGGCAGAACCCATAGGAAAGGGGCTGAACCCAAAGCTGGGGGGGGCCCAGACCCAGGACACCCCCCTCAGGGCCCTCCCTCCCCCCTCAGGGCCTCCCCCTTCCCCCCCCCCGTGTCCCCATCGCCTCACACCGCCCCCCCCTCCCCCCCCCCCCCGGGCCTACCTGCTCCCCATGGAGCCCCCCAGGCCCCGCGGCGGTCGCCGCCGCCGCTTTCCGCTTCCTGCTAACTGTTTTCCGGGCCATAGTAGAAGGAAAGGGAACGAGAGAAGCCGAGAGCCCGGCCCGGGCCCCACATGGAGCAGGCGGCCGCCAGGGCTGGGGGCATAGACGTGAGGGAGCCGAGCCGAGCCGGGCCGGGCCGCGCCTCACGACATTGCCCCCGACCTCTTTGCGACAAATCGCGGCGACGCTTCACGGCCCCCCCCCCGGTTTCCTAGCACCGCCCCCCACCGGCCCCCGCCCGCCCGGCGTTGCTAGGCAACGCGCGCCGTCGGGGGGGGGAGCGGCGCCCCCCCGCGGTGGTTGTTGTTGTTGGGGGGGGCGGCCCCGGGACCCCCTGCTCGGGTCCGGGTGTCCCTCGGTGTCTGTTCCCCGCAGAAGCACGAGTTGTCTCTTGTCCTGGCTCAGAACCTGAAATTCCCGGTCCCGGGGAGTCAAACTACCTCAGTGCCTTGTCACCTCTGCTGTCACCATGCAGCTGGGGTTGCCATTTCTCCCCAGGGGCGCTGCCCGAAGCTGCACCAAGTGCTCCCACACGCTCTGCTCTGTCACCCCCTCGCAGCTCTCCATCAGTCTCTGGCATCCTCTTGTTCTCCCTTTTCCTCCTGCGTTGCAGCTATCCCTTGCCATGACGCCTTCTGGGGTTCCTCCATGCCAATGTGGTGCCTCCCTGTGCTCAGCCCAGCCAAAGAGCCTAATGCTTAAAAATCATAGAATCACAGAATCATTAAGGTTGGAAAAATACCTCCAGGATCATCTGCTCCAACCGTCCCCCTACCAGCACTGTCACCCACTGAACCCTGTCTCCAAGCACCGCGTCCAACCTTTCCTTGAACACCCCCAGGGACAGTGACCCCACCACCTCCCTGGGCAACCCATCCCAGTGCCTGACCGCTCCTTCTGAGAAGAAATGTCTCCTCATTTCCAAGCTGAGCCTCCCCTGGTGCAAATGGAGGCCATTCCCTCTAGTCCTATCACTAGTTATCTGTGAGCAGAAGCTGGTCTGCTCTGAGCCTCCTCTTCTCCAGACTAAACAACCCCAGTTCCCTCAGCCACTCGGGTCCTGTCAGGTCAGTCTGCCTCACAACAGCAGCTGTGCTTTGACTCCCCTACATCCCTGTTTTTTCACCAGAGCAAGGAACAACACATGCCACATAGTAGGGATGCAGCACCTGCCACGTGGGCTGGCACATCGCGCTGCCCGTGGGCATATCTGCAGAGCACCGTGTTCTGCACATCACCCCAAGCGACATCCATGTGGCTGTGGGAGCGTGAAGTGAGCAGCTTTTTCCATGTCAACCTGTCATTTCCTAGATAACAAGTGCACATCAGTGCTCACTTCAGATTTGAAGATACTTTAACCATCCTGGAAAATAGGTCATCAATCTTCTGTTTTTACAGGTGGGCATACCAAAACATGCTTTCATGCTGTAGACTTCAAATGCCTTAACACCAAGATGAGACAGTCACAGAGATGAGAAGAAAAGCAGGAATTTGTGTTGTAAATTGTCTAACTTCAGCGGCATCTCCATCCATCTGTTCAAGACTAGAGCTCAAAGACAAATTACACATGTATTGAAAGAGAAGGAGGTCAGATATTTACAATCTCATATATATTTGTCCTTTGGGATCCTGTAAATAAAGATAGCTGTTGCACTTTATCCGACAATCCAGTGTCTTTGCGTGTGTTTTTCTTCGCTTTTGGCTTTTGATTCTATTGCTAGACTAAGCTGGAGGACCTTGACAGTGTTTGTCTTCTAAGAAGTGGAAAGAACAATCTGCTTCCTGATACAGATTAAGTACATCCTTAAAGTTCTGATAAATCTATCAGAAGTCCCAAATATGCATTTTTATTTTACGTGGAATGGATATGCTATAAAACAGGAATGGATATGCTATAATACAATGGTGTTAATTTAAGCATACAAGAGGCACAGGCTGTTTATTTTTGAGCAAATGTAGCTTGCTGGGCAATACCTAGAGGGCAGGGACAGGAATCTTTTTGGCAGGCCATGCCCGTGCTGCTGGTGAGAAACAAAAGGCAGCCTTTATATCCTAGTCCTGAGGGTAAGAGTGGAGTAGGATGACCACACTGTGCTGGAGGGACACGGGAAGGGTACTCTGGTAGCTTGAACGGCAGAACGCATGGGTTTGTTTTCATGTGCATCCCTTTGGAGACAGCCTGCAAGAGTGTTAACTGTGACTGTAACATGCACAATTTATACTTTAGTCTCTTATGTGGGAAAATCATAGAATCACAGGATGGTTTGGGTTGCAAGGGACATTAAAGATTATTTACTTCCAACCCCCCTGCCATGGGCAGGGACACCTCCCCCCTGCCCAGGCTGCCCAAAGCCCCATCCAGCCTGGCCTTGAGCACTGCCAGGGATGGGGCAGCCACAGCTCCTCTGGGCAGCCTGGGCCAGGGCCTCACCACCCTCTGGGTGAGGGATTTCAGAGGGTGCTGAGGCACGGAACAGCTCACAAGCACCGAGCACGCCCTCTGCGTGCTCCTCCACGTCCACCATGCGCCAGAGGGGCTCACATCTGCCGTCAGCTCATCTTTGCACAGCTCTGCCCCACACCCCGCTTGCTGCCACCCTTTCAGTCAGCAGGTGCCTCAGCGGATCGGGGTGCTTGGAAGGGCCCCCTTATGTCACCAAACTTCCTCATTTCAGGGCAAGCAGGGGGCAGCGGGGGCAGTTTGCGTTTACACATTCCTTTATTAAACTCGCGGTGGATGTGCTTTTTGTTACATGTGCCTTTTTTTACATGTGCCTTTTGCCGTGCCTCCAGCCACAACACCCCCCCCTCCATCCTCCTGGGGACCTCCCACCCCTTTCCCCCCCCCGCCGCCATTTTGCCTCCTCCCTCCCTCTCCCTCCCCGCCCATGACGTCACCGGCGAGCCCCACCCGATTGGGCGGTGAGTTGGGAGGGAGGGAGGGGGCAGGTGAGCGTGCGGCGTGACGTCAGCACGTCGCCGGGGTGAGGAGGAGGAGGAGGAGGAGGAGGAGGCGGACAAGATGGCGGCGCCCGGCGGCGGGGCTGGCGGTGGCGGCGGGGCGCGGCTGGCCTAGAGGCACAGGGCGGCGGGGAGCGGCCGCGGGTGCCGGCTGTGGGCCGCGAGGTAACGGGTAAGGCTCCGGGAGGGGGATCCGGTGTCCTTATGGGCCTTGAGGGGGGGTGGGCCCGGCGGCCCCGCTGTGATTCAGCAGCCGAGGGGAGGCCCCGGGGGCCTGAGAGGGGTCTAAGGGGGGAGTCTGGGGGGGTGGGGGGTGGGTTCCGTGTGCTGGGCCCCGGGGCTGTGCCCGCCTGGGGAGCTCCCGGATCCCGGCGAATAACAGCGCTCTTCCTTCCCCCAGCTCACAGATCCCCGCTGGGGAGCCGCCAGGTTCTGTGTTTTTGGGGCTGGGGGTCGGGTGCGTGGCTTCCTCGTCCCTCTCCCCCTCCTGGCTTTGTATTCGCAGTGTTATCTCGAGGCGTTGTGCGCTGGAGAGCCGCAGTCGTCTTCGCTCCGTGGTAGCTCTCTGCATCTCTTTATGCTTATCGCTTATTTCTACCTCTTTTCTACTTAACTCTTCTCCTTTCATATTTACAAGAGGATCGCATCTTCTGCATTTGATGTACTATGGATGTGTGTGGTGCAGGAATACTTTATTTTTGTAGCTTTTAACTTCTAGCAGCCTCTGTTCTGCTAGCTCAGTAGGAGTAAAACAGTTAACGCTGCTATGGAAGTATTTAATATAATTCAAAGGGTGTCTTTCTGATATTTGATAGCCCCAAATCTGCCACGTTAAGGGGAAGTGAGGATTTTTTTTTTTAAAGAAGTAAAAGAAATTATAATGGGTGGAAATGAGTCATCACTTTGTCAAGTGTTTTTATTCTTCACATTATTTAAAAAGTCAAGACAGGATTTAAAAAAATGAAGTCTAGCAGAATTCTTATGATTATTGTCTTATCAGAGCAGAGCTACGTAGGTGGACTTCGGCTCTTGGCTGTACGACTGCTGTAGCTGTTGTCCGGGACTCAGTAAAAATGTATTGATGTCAAGTATATGTACTTTGAGGTGGATGTTCCTAAATGACAAGTATTGTCAGGTTACAGAACAGCTCCGTTGTGACTGGTGATGTAACTTTGTGCTAACAACAGAAAGCAGCAACATCTCAGAAACTGCTAAGTGGTCAAGAGGCTTTTGTGGGAATTTACTGGGGAGGAATCTTGCTCCAACTTGTGATGAAGGGCATTAAGGAAAACGAAGAAGAGGCGGTTCTACAGTCAGCCAGACTTCTTCCTCTCCTTCCTGCCCCGGTCATCCGTGGATTGTGGGACTTTCTGTCCTAGTGCTGGCACTCCTGCAGCAGCTCCCTTCCTAGGGCTGACCCTGCAGATCTGGCATCTCTGAGTTGCGATGACGTTTTTTTCAGGAGGGGAAACATTTTCGTCTGTGTCCTCTCTTTTCTCCCTACAGACCAGAGCTACTTGCACAGTGCTGCCACAGGGAAGGGAACAGGGCTGAGAAGGTGTGTGTGGTAGCTGCTCAGTAGAGCTGGGCTGATGTATGCCAGGCCTTGTGCAGTACGGTGTTAGGTGAGTATCTGTGCTCTGCACAACAGCAGTGGTGCTGCTGCCTAATGACTTCAGTTTTCTCTACACAGAGGTGTACTTTGCAAGTGATGGTGGGACTTTAGGACACCCTTGCAATTGGGTGACTTAAACCTTTTAGGCAAAATCTTAATTCTCAGGATGGGGGAAGGAAAACATAGTCTTTCAACTTTGTTTTTGTTGGCTCGAGGATTTGGTCTCAAACAAAACTGAAAGTCATCTTTCTCCTGTAATCTGCTGGGTCTGGCTTGCAACCTTGATACTCGTTTTTCCTGTGAGTGTACTGTGGAAGAAAGGAATCTGGAAAGAAGTTGTTTAGACTAAGAGCAAAGACTCAAGATAAGTCACACGAAAGCTGAAATGAAATTCTCTGGAACTTTGAAGTGAAAACAAAGAAGTCTTAGGTATAAGATATATGAACGATTAAGAAATAAATATTAGTTTATCTTTAATGAATTGAACTTCAATTTTTAGAATATTTTAGAGAGTATATTGCCCAGCTATTTAGCTGGGAGATTAATTTTTTTAGTTTATGTTGATGGCTAGCAAAAATCTTAAGGATTAAAAATTATATTTAAAAAAAAAAAAAAACAAAAATG